AGGAGACGGCGGCGGAGGTGGTGGTGGTGGTTGGGTCACGTGGGAGGAGCGACGGCCGACGCGGGGAAGCACCGCGGCCCGGAGAAAGGTGCGTCGCGCGCGTCACGAAGCAGGATGGGAAGGTCGGCGGCAGGGGTGGGGTGGGGGTGCGCACGCGGAGCGGGTTAGCCCCCACCGGTGGGACGAGCGGACGTCACCGGCGGCTGGGCGCACCCGCCCGCGGTTTCCCTCCGCCTTATGTCAGATTCACGCGCCGAACGCCCGAACCCGATGGGCCGAACACGCAATCGGCGAAGGCTTTCGGAGGAAAACCCCCACGCGGCGGTTCAAGCCGCAGTCGTAACAATTCCTCGCCTATGGAAACACTTCGAGTCCATCTTCAGCACATTCACAACTTGTTCACGTAATGTGTGGATTCTTTTTCCCCCTAGTCAACATTTCACTTTCGATTCTGCTAACTATTCGAACTTTCGAGATATTTTGCGTATCTAGCATAATTTCGGTACATTTAGTTTGTACTGAAACTACTATCGGAGAGTTCGGGCTTGGGGGTATGATCGTATTTTGCCGCATGGCAACGTTTTGCCATTTGCTGGGTATGATAAAAATATACAAAAAGATTCTTATGCCATTATTGTAAGGCAATGAAGAGTTAACTGACCAATTAGTCTTTCATGCTTTCATGATTGATTGTTTTCCTTCAGTGCAAAATAAAAAATTTCCCAACTTGAAATAAATAATTCTAGTCTGATGACTGAAAGCTTGTTCTTCAGGAACGAGCCCCGATACTATACAAATGCTTGAGTAGTCAGTCGTTTGTTTTGGAATGTATCTTGCCTGGCACGCGAGTTTAGTTTTCTAGAAGAGAACAAGGCAGGAGAGTGTTCAGAATAACACGTTCGCTATTGAAGAGCAATTGCAGATGTCGATACCGACAACCCGTCTACTAGGCTTTCCGTTGAAAGCTAAGTGATCAAAGGAGGTCAAACATTTCTTTCGCTTTTACATTGCAAAAATTCACATTCTAAAAATGTAACTAGTTTTAAAGTTTTGGCCGCAAAACTTTTAAGTGTTTGTCCTTTGGGAAGTGTAATATGAAGCCATTATCCGCCTGACATTCGATCTCCAACTTGAATGACAACATTGTAAAGAAATTTTGTCGAGTTGAGCCAAAACATCCCAGAACATGACATCATTACCACGCGTAAGATGCAATGTCAAATTGCAAAATACGAGGAAATGAACAAAAGGATTCACGCGTTAATGACATACGTATGATTCAAGCGGATAAATCAAAATGGAAAACACGTCGTTCAGGAATAAACACGTTCCTGTTCCTGCGTTATCTTGCAAACTGTGATTCACAAAAGTCAAGCGGAACAACAAAAGGAAGTTTTGCGTCCCTAACAGGTGACTTGGCTCTGGTACGAATAATCTCCTCACAAGTGACGAATCACAGTGTACGTAAGAAGAATGCGTTTGAAACTACATATACGGCCTCGCCCATGTTTGAAGACGGACTGGAAAACCACGTACACAATAAAACTTACAAGGAAAATGCGAACACGCCGGAACATTTGTTTGTGGAAATAAATCATGTATTCAAGTTTAATTAATATAAAAATACAGAAAAAAACCACCGGGAAACTGTACACGAAATGTTTAAATGAAAAAGAAGGAGAAAGTTCTACATGAAACACGCAGGCAGAAGCCCTGCTAACACGCATCTCGAAAATGCTAGCGGTGGCAAATAAAATCGCCACTCAGCGACAAAAGGCGGCAATGCGGACCAACCTTGCTCCCAGGCCAAAACGCGGTCGCCAGAATAAGCAGCGCGGTGAGGTGAGAGGGGGAGGGGAGAGGGAGTGGGAGTGGGGGGAGAGGGTTCGCGCCGCCTTATCACACGGATGGGCTCCGTCGGGCGCACAGCCAGAAGCGTCCGCGGGTTACACACGCACTTCCACCTGCACTTCACCGGGTGTACAGAGTTCATTGTGTGAACGGGGTAATGAGTGGCACGAGCTACTGGGAGTACTCACATGATGACAGGTTGTGTGAGGGACAGGAGAATGTGAGCCAAGTTGTTTCCTTCGATATCATTTTCTATCGCAAATTATGTCAGTTAAAAAAACGTAACTCCGAAATGATTTGGAATATAATGCTACAATTTTGTATACAAAAGATTTTTTTTGAAGGAATTAACTTTTTGACCCGTAGACTTGAGAATTAAATTGAGTATCGATAAAACTATTTCGAAACTAGAATTCACAAACATGGGTATTGCTCAGTCATCTGTCGGATATCTCATGTAAGTGTGAACTCACTGTATGTAATGGTACAGATGAAATGCCATGTCCGATTCAATTTTCCTCTACAGAATATTCGAATACTGAGACGACAGTCGTTTCGCTTTGCTTAGTTGGACTAAATATAAATGGAAGCATTTAAAAACTTTCGCTGAACTGCGATCGGGTATCCTATCAACAATCTGATGATTCATGATGTTGATAACGGCATTAATGTCGAGGCTTGCCGGGTGTTTGCAACGGGGCTGACAAAATGAACGTTGGCAAATACTAATTATGTCGGCAATGACAGAAACTAGCTAGTTTTTTATATTAATATTTACCTATGTTTAGTTCTGCATGTGGTACAAATAATATCCATGACTTAGGTTATATCGTCGAAAATTAGAAAACAAATCGACTATATTCCGTTCAAACAACAAACATTCAGATAATTTAGTTATATAAATCATGATATGCCTACAAGAAACAGGGCAATGTTTCTTTTCATCTGAACCTTTTCATGAAATGGATATCATGATAAAAAAAAATCAGCGATCTGAATCTTGGCTTATGCCCTCGCTGCCTCTTAGTTCGATTATATTCTAATCGGGAGTTAAGTCTCGCTGCTTAAGAACTTTTGCCTCTGACGCATATAAATTGCTATTTAAAGCCAAGACAAAGGTTAAGTTTATAGATTAGCAGGACCATTCTTTTCAGAATGCACAGTCATCGTAAATGTAATAAATTTGTAATAATGAAATGTATTTATAAATTCAAATGATAAACTCCTACAACACCATAACTGAACTAATCGTTGAAGCTAGGAGGTTTTAAAAGTTGGTATTTACGACGTTTTCTAGTAATCTTCACGTCATTCTAGTCATTGTCGAGTCATAATAGTAGTTACAAGATTCGTGCATGTCATGTTTAAACAACTCGTTTAACCTTGAATTTCGTTTAACGCATGTGGTAAGAACGTGATTCTTTAAGAAAAAATTGCAAAAGTTTAATCCAGAAAACGGCGTTCCAAGAGTGTGCTTGTTGGGTTGGCATGTGTTCTTTCTTTCACTCAGTTATAAATCCAGTTCCTTTATTTTCAAGCACAGTTAGCAATATTGGAACTAACAGCAGATTCTTGCCACGAAAAATTTGTAAATTTTTCCATTGCAAAAATGGTAGAGTGCGCAGCCTGTTGAGAAATAGTAGCAGTCACCGAGTTTATTAATGAAATGTCATTTAAAATTCAATCTTAATTTTAATAGTACACAGCTCAAATTGATACCAATTGTGCCTATGCTTAAATGATGTCACTTGGGAAAACTAACGTGGCATCTGCTAGGGGGCGTGCACTGAATTCTGCATGCTAGCAGCGGCGTAGCCTTTCAGTGTTTTCAATCAATCCAGTTTGACTTATAATTCAAGTAGTTAACATTATTCATAAAACAAGTATTGTATGAAAGTCGACGTAATAGGTACTGTGATATGGAGTTTATGTTGCTCTTATAATATCATTTCATTCTCATGTATTAATACGCACGATTCCAACCTCGTTTTATAAACATACTAATTCTGTAGAATGTGAAGCAAGTAAGCACACTATGGCGTTTTACCACCTACACAACGTCTTTTAAGGGTAGAAACAAAATGCGAGAAGGAGCTCCGCAGGGCCAATTTCGCGCTCCAAAAGGAAGCCCGAAAGAATTGAACCATTGATGAAGGTAGCGGCGTGCGTTTCCGCTTAAGCGAAGCCATATTTTACGCGCATAGGTCATCAAAAAGGTAATGCTTTCCGTGATAGTATATCTCTAGCGGATCTCAACGCTGACTCACGATTGTGAGTGCACTGTCTCTGTAGGGCAAAGAAGACACAATTCTGGACGACCAAAAGCGCGGCGAACGGTGTCGGCGTATTTTACGTTTGTGTTCATATGGAGGGATTACTAAGTAGGCTAGACTACGTCGAGCCCCGCACGCACAGTACGCACTCCGCCTGAATTGCTGCTCCGACTGTATTTCTCTACACAAATTTAAAACGCAACTAAGACAAGAGAAATGCTCTGCTAGCGGTTGCTCGACTGGCGCGGCGGCAGGTAAATTTCGGCTTGGCGAAAACGTGGTACATGAAAATTACGTTATACTGGAGAAGTCGGGTCCTCCAGACGTGCGTCTCGCAAGAATGAACGAATCAAATAACACGAAATCTATCTGTACTCAGGTATCATTACTCAACCATAGCGAGCGACGTGTCCGCGGGTAACAGGCTGCTAACCGACACAGAGCAGTCTGCGTATGTATGTGCGCAGATAGAAATGAAAATCGCATTTGAGAGGTATAAGATCGGAAAGTCCATTGGATGCGAGATGACGTGACAAGACGAAACTTTTAGGATGGTGATTACGTGTAAAACGTAAGAAATATACGGGAGTTATCTTACACAGAGTAATTTCTATAGGTATATAGTGTGGTTTTATTATAATAAATAATAGGTGTGAAGATTAAGCTTTTTTAGTTAACACGAGAGCCACATCCTGCTC